CGTTCAACATATTGATTTCTTTCATTACTACAATATACAAATATAAATTGGGAAATAATAAAATAATTGCCTACAGCCTCTGTATTACCATAAGATAATAACCCTAAATGTGATCGTAAATCTTTCGCACGAAATGCCTACATAGTATAATAATAAAATCTTTCGACTAAAGCTGGTCGTGATGGACATTTGTGATGGACTTCCTCCCCAGTCATCCTACACAATAACCAACTTCCTTATTTTCCTTTGAACGCAATAAAACTCTTCTTCTTCTTGCGCTGTTTGAGATTCCTCGTTATTTGTATGTAGGACTCGATCTCAATATATTTCTAACCCTTCAATCCGTACTCGATCATTCTTTTAATATCAGAAAATCATTCACATACTCGAGATAGATTATTTATTAATTTAATTTAATCTTAGTGAAAACTGTTCGACTTTTAAATGAAAATTCTTCTTGGGTCATGTACCAGGAAGGCAATTCGAAATTCATATTAACCAAAAACTTGTATTAATTAGAGTTTATCTTTTTTATTTCTTACCTCGCCAATACACGAGAAAAAAAAGAGAGAGAGAGAGAGAGAGAGAGAGTCAGCTATATACGTGTGTCATAGCTTATATGTATTATTAAGAATATTTCATTATCCTTTGGTCTGAAAAAATTTCTTCAAATCAAATATCAAATGTAAGAAGATGAAAATTGCCAATTTATAAATTTTCCGCTATCTTATAAACTCCAAATGTTCTATAAATAAAATTGTAAACAAAAATTGAAACACTGTCTATTGCGATTAATATTTAAATTAATATATATATATATATATATATAAATTCATAAATAATTATATATTGATTATTTATTTGGTATATAAATATAGTTTATAATAAATAGAAAAACTTGATAAAACTTGATGGTAGTGGTTTAAGTAAGTAACTTATATAACGAAAGTGATTGTTAGAAAATTAAACTTACCTCACAATTAATTACATTTGTTACATTTAAGATATCTTCACTTAATAAATCTAATTTTAAATAATATAAAATCTTTATTATTATTTGAAATACAATAAATGTAAGACATGATATTGATTTTTTAAGTCCTAAATTCAAAAGAATTAAGAACTTATAAAACTTGTAAATAAATGATTATTTATAGTTTTAAACGAAATAGTTAATTAAAATGAGCAATCAATTAATTGATAAATTAGTTCATGTTAATGTTTCCACTTAATCCTTAAATAAAAACAAAAACAACCTAATCTTACAATGTTTCCATAAGCAACTTTATGTCTTATTAAATTCCTTAAATTATGATTTAGTAACAAAATTTTTATCATTTTATTTTCACACTATCACGAGAATAATTAAAGTAGCGGTGTTAATAAAAATCTTTTAATTTCAACATTTAAACATATGTCTAAATGAATAATTTTTGTTATAGAAAAATGTCAATCGTACGACAATGAGATCACTTCCCTCAAAAGTAAGGCTAAATTTTTTTTTTTTTTTTTTTTTTTTTTTTTTTTTTTTTAATTAGTTATTTGCAGCACTTTGTTTCGATTTTAGCTATAAAGAAAATAAATATTTTGCATAAAATTGTATAACACTCTTAATTGATTATTGAATACAAAATGTTAGATATCAAAATTAATAAATGCACATGGTTTATAAAATACATTTTATGTAACAAGAATATTAAATTATAAAATTAAAGCATTGTATATAAGATATAAATTTGATTCGCAATGAATAACAAATTTCATTGATAATAAGTTCGTTAGGATGAATGATAAATAAGTATTGAATTTATAATAACAAAATTGTTATTGTTAGGGTTCCTCGTATTGCTGCCATTAAAGTATGATATAAAAAAAAATCACAATCGGATATAAAATATTTAATTTATAGAATATGGGAGCAGAATATTCTACTTGTAAATCTTGTTTATATTAAATAATGAAACATATATCATATTAATGAACTAAATGAAAATAATACATACCCTTGATGATAAATTTAATTTTAAATTTGATGTCTGAATACATATATATAAATATGCAGATAAATGGGTATCAAACAGAATAAATCATTAAATCTCTAATACAAAAGTTTATTACAATAGATATAAAAGTTAACTAGTCTTTTAATTGAAATACCAAATAGAGTAAATAGATCAAATTCACATTCATAAAATCAAGTATAAATTAAATATAAAGTATATTTAATAATTGAAGTCCTACAATATTTAAGCAAAGGCATTAATTGATGGTAATGATAATTTTCCTTACCTTCGATAATATATTGCTATAATTAAGTTTTATCAAGTTTAAGACTTTTCTTATGTATGTAGTTTTCTACTTATGGCAATTATAAGCATTTATAAGGATTTAGTGAACGAGTTGAAAAATAAAAATTGAATGTTGGTACGACAAATTTAATTCCCTCAATACTGTTGGTTAAATTTTTTTTCTTATTTCACTCAAATAAGTAAGCACGGTTGTTTCATAAAATTTATCATTACACTTTGAACGAAATAATTTAGTATTTATTTATAAAATTATGGACTATAATACTCTGAAGTATTTTAAAATAAATTTAATGAATTACAATTATATAACCAACACGTTACTTACTCCATTCTTTAATCAATTTTATTAACATTAAAGTCCGATTTCAATTTAATTAATAAGGCAAAAATTTACTTCAATATATTAATATATAACATTTATCAATTTCCAGAACCCTTAACTTTAAAACTACAAAATATTGTTCAAAAACAGTATCATTCTATAATAACGTAATTATGAACAACTACTGATTTAATTTATTAAAAAGTTTTTAATTAAATGTAATGCCCATTGTTAAATGTAAGCTAAAAAACGTTTAGGTAATTCACAATGTCAAAAATAATTAGAGAATACTTATTATTGAAAATATAATTTTAAATGAAACTAATCGAAATCTCGGAAATAATAATTAATAATGTATAATATTACGTAACAAATAATTATAATACTTACCTGCACCATTTTACTACTTTATTAATTGAATAATATTAAAGTAATGACACTAAAAATTTATTGGTTTATAAAAATTTCAAATTAACTTACGCTACGTTAAGTACATTAACAAATCATTATAAAAATTGAATACTTTTATGGTAATTAATGCAAAAATTATTCAACTAAAGTTTATAATTATTTTATAAATTTTCTTGTTATATAGATATTAAAGTTTCTTAATAAATATAAATAACTACTTTATGTTAAAAATTAAAATTAAATTATAAATATTAATGTTGCATATAAATTTAATGATGCGATGCAATGTATAAGCTAAGACAAAATAATTTTGCAACAAAAGGATTGACACTTAAAATGTAAAACTTGGAAACTTGGAAAACCTTTAATTAGATAACACATATGTATACAAAATTAAAATAAAATTAACATATATCAATCACGAGTGTTAAAAAAATTATTCCCTGTAATATTTTAGTTTTAATACTATTTGTCACACTATCAAGAAATGAAATTTTCAAACAATGTGGATGTATTCGTATAAATTAAAAATTAAAAAATTATTCAGTTCTATATCGAAGAATTAAATCAAAATAGTCTTTTTAATTTTAAAATTCAATTTGGTCATACTCGTTATATCATTGACATAATTATTATTCAACAAACAATATATTCAGAAAAATTATTTCTATAAAATTACAATTGAAATATTTTAAAAATATTCTCAGCCTACTGAAATATAATTTGTCCGAGAAAACAAAAGAATTAACATTGTAATATTAATGTACATCGTTATAAATCTCAATAAAAATTTAAATCATAGTAAATTGAAAAATATAGTACTTTAAATTAAACAATTGAAAATTTAACAAAAATCATTAATAATTCCTTGAGTATCTCATAGTCTATTACAATTTCTTTGCATATCAATTAAATTTTTATTGTAAAATTTATTACATGTTTTGGTATTTACTTTAATGGTATACAAAATTAGTTTCATAATGAAATATCTCTTTCAACTTAACTGAAAATACTATTTCATTAATGACTTGGTCTTTGTTACGCCAATTAGGAAATGGATAAGACGTTTTATCAATAGATTTACAAGCTATATTTTTGAAGAAGGCCAATGATATGTAAAAATACATATATTATATTTATATACAATACTCTAGGATATAAGCGCAGTAACCAAGATATACACATACTATACATATAATTACAAGTGAGATTTAATCAAACAGTTAAATTTTTTTTATAACAAAATAGGACAAAATTATATCAGTTAGTCAAAAAGTTACATAGAACACTATGATTTATGTAGCAACATAAAATTTATAAAAGTTACTTGTTCTTCGTTATGATTTTGATAATTTTCTTATATTTTGATACACAAAAAAAAAAAAAAAAAAAAAAAAAAAAAATAAAAAATTTTTCACTAGTAAATATTTCACTTGTTACTACATCAAGGATAATGTTTGTTTTACAATAAAAATAGTTATTAAATACGGAGACATCATTTTTTGTTTTAAAATAATTATTGGTAACACTTAAACAGAAATGCATCCAATGTACAACAGAGGAATTGCAATTTAAATGAAAATAAAAATTACATAAAAACATTAAAAATTTAACCTACACCAAAAGTTTGTTCATAAGAACAAATTGTTTGTTATATTTTAGTTTTACAAGAACATACGAATATCTCGATGTTTATTTAATTAAAGTTTCTATATGTCAATGTATTCTACCATAAAACGTTCAGCATTAAATTATTTAAAAATATTTTTTCCATACATAATTATTTAGTTAATACATACTAATTTTTATACATATAAATGTATGTATGTATATATACATACACGCGCGCTCGCGCACAGACACACATTCACACATACACACACACACACACACACACACATATATATATATATATATATATATGCACGCGCGCGCGCGCACACACACGTACTCTAAATATGTATTTATATTCTCTATCTGCAAAGGCACTCCAAATTTATATTACATCTGTATTTTACAAATGTGTAACACTCAGTTAATAACGTTTGATGAATTTGTCATTAATTAATGCAACACATTATATGTTTAGAGTGACAAAATCTTAATGATGCACTCAGTAATTATTTACCGCTAAATAAAATATAACTGTTTCGATGATATCATTCTTCCAATACTAACTTTGAAGTAGTACATATTTTGGTTTCATTCACACAAATTTAACATCTTAAGTCGTATGCATATGGCAGAGCAATAGAATATCTCAATTCACAATTCAAGACACTTTACGTCACACATTAAGAAGATACATCTTACACTTTAATTGTCAACAGTTCATTTCGTGAACGATTTTCGTTTGTACATAAAAGGAAACCAAAAAAAAAGTGTTTTTCAATTGCAAATAACTACTTTCTCTGCATTATGTGTAAGCTTTGGCTTCTCGCTTTAGTAACAGCAAGTTTCACAAGCCTTTGTAATCGTACATAAATACAATATGTTACAAGAAACACCTGTCTGAATGAGTACATGTACATTAACTTTTTTTGCGTAAGAACGTCAATAATAATGTACATGATCGATGAATGTGCAGATTCATTATTTAATAATGAGTTAATGTTGATAGAGTACCTAAACGTCAAATACCAACCTCAGTCAGTTTTCTGTTGGTATAATTCCTTCAAAGATTTCAGTTCATCGATCAAAGTTTGATTTCTATTTTCCAACACTGCCACACGATTTTCTAAACACTTTATATATTCTTTCTTTTTTCTTCTACATTCGCGCGCTGCTTCCCTAGAAATTCATTAAAACTGTTACGTTAAGCATCCTTTGTACAAATAAAGAACATGTATACATTTAAATTGACTTACCTATTCTTCAGAAGCCTCATTTCCCGTTTTCTAGCTGCGTCTTCAACCACTACACCATGACCTGTGCTTGCTAAAATATAATTTAAACTCTACATAATATAAAGTATTTACATATTATTGGTGTCATAGCATTTATTTATAAACAAATATTTATTTAGCCTTTGCTGTTACGATAGTAATTTAAAGCGGAGAAAAATGTTAACGTCTATTTAAACAACTTATGTACAAATCATATACAGACCTGGTACAAAAAATTGCGCATCTTGACCTTGGGCATACTGTACAATTGTACCACCAGCTGTTGCCGAATTACTCATACTTAATGTGTGTAATCCTGGAACACCTTCTCCTTGAGTTGCTATTTGGATAGCTCCTGCAGGTATAACTAAAAGAAAACGTAATAATAAATTTGACAAAATCTTGTTTCTTGAAAAAATGATTTTATTTTATTTTGATTTTTTCTAAATTTTTTCATTTATGCAATAATTGTCATTTTAATAAGATATAACGATTAATTTAGTGTTAAGCCCACAAGCAATTATGCCACACCAAGCTTATGTTTGGATAAATCAAAGTATTATAATATATTGGGCATAGGATATTATCATTGACTTGAACTTTGCTGAAGATATTTTAAGGATGTCGAGGGAAAATTGTAGAATAATGGACCACTAGAGATGCTAAAGAATGCCATAGCAATTAAAGTAACCAACCTGTTTGGTATTGAAGCGAATGGGAAGATACTTCGCTATCCACATTAGAGTCACATTCAGAAGAGGATTCAAGGGGAGGCAAACGACCCTCTGCAACACCGAACCAATTTAACCCCTTTTACTACTAACTTTATGTCGTTTGATTTAGTTTCTTTCAATGATTATAAATGAAATATTAACTAGAAAATGCGAGTTCATTTTTATTGAAACAAAAAAAACAAAAAACAAAAAAAAAAAAACAAAGAAACAGACGAACAAACAAAGGTCGTCGTTTTACATTTTAATGTCTTAAGCTAAAAAATTTCAAGAACAGGTGCTTTGTTGTGCATCCAGAAAGTACGATAGTTTTCAATTTAGATTGAAATTAATTATTTCAATGACATATTTTTATTAAATCTTTCTAGCTGCAGTTCTGTTGCATACTAGAAAATTTTTTTGTGCAGTCAGGTCATACACAAGGGAATAATATTAATGAAAAATTGAAATTTCTAGTAAGATTAAATTATAGTACTTATAAGAAAAAGTAATTCAAATAATGTCCTTGTCATTTAAAAATAGAATTAAATAAGTAATCGAGGAATGGGTGTACGAAAAGGGTTTGTTCTAAAGCTCATAAAAAATAAATATATGCTTGACGTATCGAATAAATTCAGTAAGCTTGGTATAGCATTTTGTCCTTAGCAATAAATCCATTACCATCCGCTAATTATAGGTTGCTAATAATATACTGGTACAATTGGAATTTCCTTTACTATATTTTCTATTCTTTATTTTTGATTTTTAATTTTTAATCGTATGAACTGACATGCACCACTTGCATCATTATCCGAGTAAATATTAAATGGACAAATTGCTCAAGACTCGTATTTTTCTTATTAGTTAACGCTTAAATGATGTATCAAAATGAACTCGCACTCACCTGCAATTTCTCCACCACCTAAATCATTTAAGATTTTTCTATACGAAGGTCTCCTTGATAAAATATCTCTTCGTTTCTTTGGAGATTCATCATCCGAATAGCTGTCATCGCTGGCCGTCTCAACAACCTAAAAGGTATTAAAATCTAATTATAGTAGGTATTTAGAAACAAAGCAATAAAACAAATTGTCTCAATTCTTACGTACTTGTAGCGTCTGTAGGCTTCCTTGAGCCGTTTGAATGACCGAATTTGGTTTGCTAACAAGAATGACATTTCCTTTCGAAATAGCCACAGGATGAATATTTGTTGCCGTTTGAATGACCGACTGTTGATTGGGTTGTATAACCGATTGCACCTAGTAATCAATGATTACTTAATTACATTAATTACATCAATTTTGAAATATAAAATCCATTTAACATAACCTACCACTGCGACATTACAACCAACAAAACTTTTATACAAAATAACTCTATACAGTAATGACAATTATACGTACAAAAAATATCTGATCGATCTTCGTTAAAAAAAATAATACCAAAACCAGCATTATGCAAAAATGTGGAGGATCTAAATGTGTCGAACGCAGATTCTGCGAGACATTCTAGAATCTAAAAATTCAGACAGCAATTGACGGGAGCAGAGTTAAAGTTAAGGCAAGTCGGAACGAGAAACCAACTGAAATGGCTGTGCAAGGTGTAAAATGATAAGAACAAACGTGTCACCGATACACAGGAGGTCATCCTGTATACCTGCGTAGCAGCGGAGGAGGGCAACGTTAGTTGCACAATGCTGGTGGAGGCTAGCAGATGAGTTTGCTGCTGGTGATTTCTATCGAGAGACTGTACCGATGTTACGATGGTCGGCGCTGTTTCACCGCTTTGAGATCCCTGCGACAGTGGGTCCACAGCAGATCCGTTTTCCTCGACCATGCTTTCCATAGCCCGAGGACCGCGAGCCCTGCAACGTACATCGAGATATAGTAGTATAAGTAATGCACCGGCACCAATTGGCGACGAATAACTCGACGCGGTCTGGAGAAACGACGAGTCGAAGGAGGGAACTTGATTTACATAAGCTAGACGAGAGGCGGCGAGGGAGGCCACTACTAGCCACTGGCGGGCCCCTATAAATAGCGGACTAGTGCTTATACAGCATTCGATAAACAAGAGATCCCTGTACTGACTGCTGTTGCTGCTACATCGTCGTCGACGGCAGCCATCTTCCGCACAGGCTCCTCCGGAGGCACAAGCCTCTAGAATGCGCTGACTAACGACAGAGTAGTCGCGCCTGCTGTTACCGTGCACCAGTCAACCCTTCGAATCTCTTCGAGCTACCGCACACACTCTATTGCCATTCCTCACCCGTCACTCGCACTCGCTCTCCTCTCAACTC